TGATTGCGATAATTAAATCTGCATAAATCATGCATTTTATTGAATAGTAGTAATATAAAATATTTTATTATTACTACCAAATAGAAAGTCAAAGATAGTTAATTTTGCACTATTAATTATGATCATATGGATTTTTTTTATACATATGCTTTTTCAATGAACTTTTTAAATAATAATATTGACAATATAGACTTTGCTATAATAATAGTATATTTATTTAATTCATTAATTTTTTTTAATTCATCTTATTATGTGTATAGTCTAAGTTTATAAATTATATGTCATTTAAATATATCTATACTACTAATTTATAAGGTTTTACCATTTGGGGGAGCTAAATTTTAAATTTTAATTATAAAACTAATTTTTCTTATCATTTTGCAGTTATATGTTTGATGGAGTATGGCTGGAAATTAAATTACAAAAAAAATAATTTTATTTTTTATATTGTAATGTAACATAATATGTATTATAATGTTTGTATTTAGTACATTTATTAATATTTTTTATAACTTTGATTGATTATTCAATTCATAATGGAATAAAAAAATAATAATATATAGTTTCTGCACACAATAATGACTGTCACATTTATATATATAAATGAAAATAAGAAACATAAATGTGAGATTAATTAAAAGAAACCTTTTTAATTTAGCCATTAACTAATTAGATTTAACTAAAAGAAACCTTCTTAAATGTGGGATTAGTGAGTAATTAATTAAAAAAAGTGTAACTCATTTTGGAGAGAAAGTGAAAATATTTTTATTAAATATTTTATTAAATGGGATTAGCTAGTAATTATATATATATAGATTGTTGTTATTTCTGAAAATTAGACCATCAAATATTACATTAAGAAAAAAAACAAAATACCAATTTGACACAGCGTTCTGAAATGCGTATCTATGTTGGATGCCACTTTAGCACTTTGTTAAATCAGAAGTCGTATGATGATTAAGTGATAGTTGATGCACCATTTCACTAAACTCTAAAAATACATGCCGTAACACTTTTCAATTTTGGACGAAATTTAGAGATAAGCCAAAATTATCTTTAAACGTAATTTTTTTTAAAAAAAAAATGGATTTATGGTTAAATTTATTTTAAAATGGATAATTTAAAAACAATGAAAGAAATGATTTTTTTTTTCTTTTGTCAAAACAACAATTATTTTAATAACTAAAAAACTCAAAAGAGTACAATTGATGTATCAACTGACACGAAAGAAATCAGAAAATCAGGACCTACCTAATTAGTAATACACATGAATCTAAGGAGGTAAAACTCCATCGAGGAGATAACCGAACACACAAAACCCAACTTCATAAAGGAGACTAGACGATGGACTTAAAAAAAGAAAGATAAAAAACAACCCACACCTAATAAACAAAATAGAATAAATCTTCTCATAAACCTAGCATCACTTAAATTGCCGCCAATTAAACTGCCTGGACGGATTTTCAGTTAAGATACATCGACGTCTGGGAAGGAAATGAGAGCCGCCAAGAACTCATCGGAGGGGCACATAGTAATTATTAGACTTTTATGGGAGTGCACTCTCATTATTTTTGAAAAATTCCCCAAATTTTAGCAACTAGAGCATGTATCCGTGGATTTTGTAATAAAAACATTTAAGATAATCTAGATATTTATTTATTTATGTTACCTAGTCATGATGTAATAATATTCAATCAGTGTTTATGTTTACTAGTACGTAACCCGTGCGATGCACGGAATGTAAAATTTGGAAGAATAATATAACCTCACGTGCATTAGGATCGAAATTGAAATCATTAAAATACATAGGAACATTGTTGCATCATAAAAAGTTCGGTAACAATCATATATTATTAAAATCCTCCTTGTACACAACATTATGAGTTTGATTATTTGGTAACTCCTCATTATCACAAACTAATATTTTCAAAAGAGACAAATCCTAAAAATCAAACTAATATTTTTGGTGAACAAACTAATATTTTAGGATTGGTGAACAAACTAATATTTTAGGATTTCTAGGATTTGTCTCTTTTTGGTGAACAAACTAATATTTTAGGATTCGTTATATGAATAAGGCTACCTGTTTTTTGTGTTCTTTTCATTCATTTTCATTCAAACAATCCGATGACTTGTATAATGAAATCCGAATCTTAAGCCGAAATATTTAAAAAAAGAGTTTTTAAAAATTGAAAAGTCAAGGCAATCAGTTCAGATTAATTAAAGGTCAAAGAATATCCGCTTCTTGAAATAAAGACGTGTGCTATCATTTACCAAATATCCGGTTATTGATATAGAGTGGTCACCAAAAAATAAACGCGATAAGGACGTTTCATGGAAATATCAATGGGATAAGGTCATAACAGATCGTTATACATTTTAACGATAAAAGCTCAGATGGAATGATTTATGATAATTATGTCGTAATTAATGAATTAATGAGAAGTGTGAAAAGGACATAATTAATGAGAAGTGTGAAAATGACATAATTAATGAGAAGTGTGAAAAGGACAAAAACTTACCAGTTTTGGAAAATATTTAATGCAAATCCGACATTGACCATAATTTGACATACTATTTTGGATAAATGTTAATTCTTATTATATAAGTATAGATAACATTTTAAAGTTTAAACAAATTTCAAGGTTATTTACAACTTTTGATAAATTATTAATTAACTTATTCATATTTATCAATTACTAGTACGACACCCGTATACTACACGGGTTGTTTGAAAAAAAAAAACATAAAATCATAGAAAAAACACATGTTGTCGTATAAAAGTGCAAAAATAAAAATTACTAAAGTCGATATTATTTCAAATTTTGAAAAATTTCTTTGTACACAACATTAATAGTTTTATTTACAATTTTTCCATCTTTATCCAAACACATAATTTTCAAGTCTCTTCCACTTTTAACTGTAGATAATGCAACATAAAGTTGACTATGATAGATTATTTGATAAATTATTACTTAACTTATTCATATTTATCAATTATTTGATGATAGATCAATCTAAATATTTTTTCAAAAAAATTAAAAAAATGATTTACAGATTTATTAATAAAATAATTTAATTGATTTATTTATGTTTTTAAATTTGGTTTGATAAAATTTTTATAAATATATATCTAAATATTTTTATTTTCTATGTGGAATATGAATGTCAAATCAAAACACTCTAAAAGACGATTAATTTGATATTTTTATGTTAAATACAAAATACAAATAAAAAGGTTTATCTATCTACAAATCTCAAATTTTATTGTTACAACTAAAACTTCGTATTTATTTAATAAAGAATGCTAATTTCGGAAACTAATTTTTATATTTCGGATTATTCAACTTAATTGGTGATTTTTTTGTCCATAATCTAACTACAAAATCTTTTACAGTTTAAAAAGAATATGTAGATTCTTGGTACCTATTTTTTTGTAGATATCCAATGAATAATTAGCTAGGATAAATATTGGAAAAGGAAACGAATCATACTCCCTCTGTTTGACAATGTGTCATTTAGTTTTTTAAGAAAAAGCAAAAATTATAAATTTAACGAGAATTGTTATTTTATCATTATATAAGACTTTTCTAAATTTCTTATATTCGATTTTAATTATTTTATATATATACTCTCTCTTTCTCTCCTTGCGTGGAAATCATCTGTATTGTTATGTCATTTTTCTGTTTTCTTTTACATGAATTTTTTTTTTTACCAATAGGAACCGAAAATGAGATTTTTTAGGATTTATGATAATGATAAAACAAAAAAAAAATAAAAATAAATGCATAAATACATCTAAAACGACATTTAAAAAAACCACAAAGATTACAATCTCAAACAACATATATTCTTAAATGGAGGGAGTAAGAAGATAATAAAAAGTAAATATCATACAATTAATATTGGAAAAGAAAAAAATTTGATAAGCCGATATCACACAACATATTTACAAATTGGCGAGATTTAAATTTGAATATAAAATCTATGCCACACAACAAATTTGATGATATTTAATTTTGAATATAAAATGATATTTAATTTTGAATATAAAATCAATCTATGACTTATTTGAATATAAAATCTAATTATACAACAACGTTAATGAATAGTTATATATATACCACTTTTTTTAACTCAACTTTAACTCAACCCCAATATTATTAATATAATTAAATAATATCAATCAATCATTCATACACACAACATCAACCTTAATTCACTATTCATCCACTCACATTATTTTAACTAACCATCACTTCAACCATCTCTCTCCTACTTTCACATCAAATCAATTTTAGTTATTTTATTTTAAATATTATTTTAATATATCCACTAACAATTAACCATACAACTTTTTAAAAAAATTAACCAAACCAAAATAAAAAACCCAAACAATACTAAAAATTTCCATAAACAAACATGCTCTAACTAGTTAGGAAAGGAAACACGCCATATATAATAACCTCAGCTTTTACGCGTGACAGCATTTTCTTCAACTGCCTATACATCTCCATTAATACATACCAACTTTTAGAGCATTTTCTTCAACTACCTCACCCTCACCGGGCTCCGGCGCTTCCCGTCATTTTCCGCACAGGTTTGCTTCATTTTTCTTCTCATAGACAGAGGTCAACAGTCACTGACTGTGAATTTCACCGGAAGTCGACTTGCTTGCTTTCGAAAGTGAAAATGTGAGTGGTAATCGCGAATCTGTATTTGGAATTTCGTAAGTTGTTGAGTTATCACTTGTTCCTTTTCTTCGTTGATTGGAAGAGATTTCTTTTTTTCTTTTTTTTTTTTTTACCGATAAGAGATTTGTTACCATTTCCATTCGGACAAAGTTTCTTATGTTTTTTGTCCATGCAGTTTACAACTGAAGCAATTCTTGGTCACGTGGAAAAATTGCTCAATATAAAAGGATCGAGAGTNATTTTACGTTTTTGTTTCCCTATTATTTTATATTTGCAAACTTGAGTCTTAAATGTTATTAGATTCTCAATGCTTGTAGATGCTGAGGAATACAGTGATACCAGAGGCACCAATGTTCAAACCTGAGTTTCCACCTCAAGGTGTATTTTCATACTCCTGTATATATGAATTTTCAAAGCTTTTAAAGCACTAATATACTTTAATAGCAAACAGTATATCCATATTGTTGATTGCATATTAATTCCGGATACTGGGGAAAGAAGGAAAATAGAAGGAAGTGAGGCTGTTTTCCTGAACTAGCTTAAATAATATTTGGAACTTAGCCTGTCATAGACTAGTTTTCCAAGGTTTATGTCCTAGAAATGACTACCTGGTATTCCTTCTATTAGAGAGTAGATACAGTTAAGGAAATCCTATCTACCTGCTGGGCGTCCTTTTAAGTCTCATTGGAAGGGCCTTTGATCTTTGCCTCTGTAAATACGGAAACTAAAAATGGCCTAAATTTTAGCTTTAGGCTGTGCTGAGTTAGCCGTTACAGTTGAGTAAAGTTTGGTAGAATGTCTTTAACTTCTCACAACTATTATTCTCATTGATTGAATTGGATACACTATCCAATTCAGAACCAGAAGCTGAAGTTGTTCTCGTGAATGAGGATGGGAAGGCTGAAGAAAGAGTTGAATTAGCGTTGAAGCTTCTTCCAGACTACGACCCCTCCAAGAGTTGGAGTGCTGATTCTTTTTCACCTTTCCACTATTGGAGAATTCGAGATTATGCGTATGCATACAAATCTAAGCTCGTGACCCCATCTATAGTAAGCTGATGTAAAGTGACATCTCTTATTATCAATAGGAATTAATTCATTGATCGAATTCTCTCTCTCTCTCTCTCTCATAATGAAGGTTGCAGAAAGGTTTATTTCAGCTATGGATGAGTTCAACAATAAGAAGCCTCCAATGCCATTGTTGATTTCCTATGATCCTGAGCTAATAAGAAAGCAAGCTGCAGCTTCCACCCGAAGGTTTGAGGAAGGTAAAAGTCTTTCTGGTTTAGACGCATTGTGTTTGCTTAACCAAAATTAATTACTAGATGATTGTGTCATGCAGGAAACCCGATATCAGTCCTTGATGGAATATTTGTTGCAATCAAGGACGATATTGATTGTTGTCCTCATCCCTCAAAAGGTATTTAGCTGCATCATTGGACTCTTATAAAGCAATCAGAAAAATTGATGAGCGCTTCATGACCAACAGGAGGAACAACTTTCTTTCACGAGGTTCGTCCTGTGAAAGAGGATGCAGCGACCGTTGCAAGGTTACGTAGCTGTGGTGTGATCTTGGTCGGAAAGGCGAATATGCATGAATTAGGCCTGGGAACAAGTGGAAATAATCCTAATCATGGGTAACCTTGCATACATCCTTATGATGGGATAACACTGCTCTGCTTATATGATGTATGACAGCTATAAAAAATTACTATCTTATTGTTATTCTCGTTCAATCATTTGAACATTCTTTATGGTCAAATCATTAATGATCTGAAATATTTTAAGTAGCTTGTCACAAGTGTTTAATGTGGAAGTATGTCATATAGAGATTTTATGTGACAGGCACGGTGATGAAATCTCCCTCGATGTTTTGATGTCAAAGACATGATAGTTGGATTTTCCCAGTCCATTGTGATATTTTCAAAGAGTTAACGTAAAGCTCAAGTGCATATTTGAAGTTGGCCTCTCATTACTTAACGTAACCTGTTCTTAGAAGAGAATTTCTTCACCTTTTCTTCTGTAGTACCACTCCATGTATGCCTTTCCAAGTGATGACATGTCAACTTAGAGAAGTTTGTGACAGTTTGTTTTACGTATTCAACTGAATTTATTCATAGTGTTATGTATCCTAAGGCTGATATGCATATTTACGATTGGAGAATTGGAAAATGACACGACCATAGATGAGATTCATAAGTCAAATACTTCTTCATTCTTGGTGGAGTCTGAGGAGTCCACAACCACTAATTCCTATAAATTAAGAATTCATTTTCCTGCATGCAGTACAACAAGAAATCCACATGCTCCTGAAAGATATACTGGTGGATCATCTTCAGGCCCAGCTGCAATTGTTGCTTCTGGATTGTGTTCAGCTGCATTAGGAACAGATGGGGGAGGTTGTGAATTTGCTATACAACAGACATGTAAATTATTTTCAAGTAGCCATTACTATTTTCTGACGTGTTAATTATTTCACAGGTTCTGTACGTATTCCATCCTCTCTGTGCGGTGTAGTGGGGCTGAAATCGACATATGGAAGAACTGATATGAAAGGGTTAGCAACTAAAATGTTGATGTTACTTTCCATCTCATTGTTGAGACACCACCACATAGTACCCTGCTTCAGAATATTATCACATCTAGTTCAGTAACATGTCAATCAAGTATTAATTAGTATGATAAATCTTTACATACATAGACAATTGTCTAAGACATTGTTCGTCTGTTATTGCTTTTAAGCAAAAAAAGCAAACTGGTAAGGTGTGTATACTCAAGCTTAAATCCCTTATTTTCATCATATGTGAATGAATAGTTCCTCTCCCGAGAGTAATGGAAGTTGTAAATAGTTTTGAGTGCTGGCATACGTTTTACATTTGAGGAACAAGTGTACTCACTATAAACAATGAATCAATTCTAATGTAGGGTTTTAGAGCTGTGATTCAGAGAGTACTTGAACAGCACATGACAATTTGTTTAATATTTGGTCTTAAACATGAATACAGTTAGTTCATCTTTCTCTTTAATTCATAAGAGATTCGCATGGCATGATTCATCTGTAGCCGGCATTAACCTCAACATCCCCGCTACAGATATATATATATATATATATATATATATATATATATAATGTTGTTTCAGATGTTCTGGTTCTCATTACATCATGTGATTTATCAGAATACCATCAATTTTTTTATTTTTTATTTTTTGGTTTATTTAAGCCAGAATTCTTTCATTGTTGGGCAACTCACTTTTGACCCCTGTAAATTTCTTTTTGGCAGGTCAATATGTGATTCAGGAACAGTAGAGATTATTGGTCCCATTGCATCTAGTGTTGAGGATGCATTACTCGTGTAAGTAGTTGTGCTTTACATATCCTATGCCACTTTCTTTTTTATTTTATTTTTTTTCTTTTAATCCTGTCTTCACTTGTTTTCATGGAACACTTTCTGTTCCGGTTTTAACTATTTTCTAGTAGCTGTTACCTTTTTGGTTTCTCTTTCATGACTTCTTGATTATCCATAGTGCGCATCAATGTGCATGAAGTTACTTGTCAAGTGTGATATTTATATATTGTAGCTCTTTGTTTTGCCACTTTATTCTTACTTCAATACTGCAAACCACATCCTACAAACGGGAATATCTATATATGTTTCTGCATATTTCAATTCTTGGAATGCACCCTATCAGAAACAAACGGTGTTTGAGCTCTCGTAATCTATATGACTTAATTCAATTTCCCTAAATGCCCACTGCCTGTGTTCCAGTTTTCCGTTGTGAACTGATGGGGTGATCTGTTTAA